TTATCCCTTCAAGCCCCCGAAGTGCCACTTCACCACTAGGATATATCACTGCAATATTAGTGCCAATGGTTCTATCTGTCTCGATATCCTCAAGGATCAGTGGAGTCCAGCACTAACTATATCCAAGGTAAGAGGCTGAAGATCATACCATTACTACCATACTATCAACACAGGTTCTGTTGTCTATCTCATCGTTACTCACTGATCCCAACCCTGACGATCCGTTTGTTCCCGAGATTGCCCATATGTACAAGGGTGATCGGAATAAGCATGACGCCATTGCCAGGGAATGGACGCAGAAATATGCTATGTGAGGTTTCCGGGCGATATTCAGCAACAGGAAGAATCGCTACGATTGTCGACCTCTGGGTGCTTGATAGAGTACCTTGCGGGATTCTCGATGTGATTGTTATTACTACAGTTGCACTCAGTGAGTGACAACCTACTGTTACAACGCATCCTTTTGTATATTTCCATATCCACTAGCACTCTATTGTCCTCCCAAAGGCGATGGTTTCTCTTTGCTGTTGCGACGACCCATACGATTCCTCAAAGCAACCGTGTGATGTTGGCCGTATGTTGAGCGGCAGCATCAGCCTTTAATCGTCGTACTATACTTCACTGAAATAGATATACTTGACAACGCCGCCATCACCATCTACAGCTGCATCATCACCGTAGTCGATACATGGTCTCTTGGGTTCTTAGTGAGTTAATCGTTGGCGCATTCATCCTTCGTCACATTCAACTCAACTATCAACATGTCTCGTCTTTAAGTGCGTCTGTTTATACCTTCCCTATGCAGCATCAATAGGGATGCGTCTGAATGCATTCATCAGAAATATAGAGTATCGATCAACTCGATGGTCAGCGACAGCAGCAGTAGCCAGTGGCCTATGGCACCATTCGTCAGTATTTGGCTCAACAAGAGACCCGAATAATAGTTGCGAATGAGAGAAGGTAAGTCCACGGATATCGAATATCGCAACTTTGACCATTCTTTCCGGGTAGTGAGTGTGAAGCGAACCCCAATTTCGCCTCATGACCTGCTCCCTACAACCTCGGTGTGGACCTGAGGAGGAACATTAACTGGACAATCATGTTGGTAGCGATGTATGTATGAACCGAATTACTTTTGACGAAATCAACACTCAGCGATGGGAGTGAGAACTCATCAATAACTCTAAAGATGTAGTAAATCGCCAGAAGCGATAGCGTGATATGATAAGAAGAATCCAACGATGAGCTGGCAGAGTCCCTGGCGAGATTGAGTCAATGCTTGAAGTCTTCGCCTGGAACTGACCGTAAAATAGCACAGCGAATCGAATGAAGGAAAACTGTTCGATATGTAGCTGCTATGCATGGTTCAGACCAGCGTGCCAAAGAGGAAACCTTCGGTTGAACCGTGGCTTCCAGAATAAGAAATTCACCCATGCTGAGAAACTAATACCAGAGGCGAACTCCCACTCACTCGCAAGATGATGGGCTGTGGTAGCGGTGAAGTCAAGACCCATGGAAGCTCCGCCATGGGGGATAGAAACGGTGACACCAAGCTTACCCAAGGCAGTGATATTGTTCGAAGGGTATGCGGCACAAGCAACAACCCCGTCAATTGTGACTCCCACGGGTAGGTTAAACGTGAGGATTTTTATGTTGAAGGTCACCGAAACAGCTACGGTGCCTTGAAAAGTTCTGGTCGCCGGGTCGAATAGATCATGACCAGAAGCATTAGCAACGAGGCAAACCGTAACAGTGAGGCTCACTGTGGTACCGGCCTGCCAAACCATTGCACATCCTTTGGCGTGAAGGGAGAAGTCCAGTGCCAACGCTTCGTGTTGGTTAGTGTTCAGAATAACTGTGAGTCTGAGTTCTGCACTCCGAGTATGTACATGAACATCAGACATCCGTATTCCAGCATCGAGCTCCATCTGCCCTTTCGAAGCATTCTTATCGGCAACAACAGACAGACAGTACTTGTCTGACTGGCCATCCTTCATGCAGGTCTTAGGGTACTCGAAGTCGAACATCTCTATCAACGAGCGAGCCCGACCAGTAGTGGAGAAATAAAATCTGCAGCAGACCCTGGCTCGATAACATGGTACGGGACGATTCCTGTACTCTCGAAATGCGATGCTGGAATCCAATCTGATACCATA